ACTCAAATGCACAGAGCGGCCAATCCCTCACTGACTCCGCCCATGTCTCTAGCGTTCTCACCGCACTTTGGGAAGGTCTTTTAATTGGTGTTTACTCCTACAGCTGGATAAATAACCCAGAAGCTCAGGGAGGTTGGTCTCCATCCTGTTTAGATTCCCTGCGGAGGTCTGAGGAAACCGCCCTGGGATTACCCAGAGCTCTGTTATAAACAGTGCACAGTCCTCTGTCGGCTCTCAGCTGCAGAGGTTGGGCCGAGAGAGGCGTGGGACATGCCAACATGAGGAAAGACCCTTCACTCTCAGCACTCACAGGTTCCATCTCTTGCTGAGGGGCTCCCGTGCTCAGCCAACCCAGTGCTATGCGGGCGCAATGGTCTAGATGGTAAGTGCGGGTCCTTCCAAAATGTCCCTCCTTTCTGTGCACCCTGCTCACCTCGGGTGATGTCCTCCCACCCTGAGGCAGTGGCTGCATGGTAGTGGCACAGTGCATCCTTCAGGGAGAGAGGGGTCAGTAGATGTAACACACAAGGTGAAATTCTGAGGTCCTGGCCCAGAGTTTGCTCAGGCTCCCCTTGGAGTGAGAAGTGAGCACCGACTGGAGACGCCAGCTGTGTGGTAACGCACAGAAACTACCCCTCCTCCACTGGAGTCTCAGGGCTCTGGCTAGGAAGCGGGGGAGCGTGAGTGGACATTACCTAACTTTTATCTGCTGGAAAACCTGGAGATGGAAGGGTTCCTCACGGGAACGCCACAGACAAGACACATTTTCCCCTGGCTGCATCTGATAAGTCGGTTGAACTGTTAGGTCTGAACATACCCCTCGTGGGGAATCTCACTCCAAACACGTATTGTTTGGAAAATTTACAAACAGAAATTGAGGTTTTCCTTTTCAAAGTGTCAGGCAGTCTTTACTAACATTGGTCTCGCCAGTGCCACCTGCCACGGCCAATCCTTCAGTGAAACCCTTTCAACTAAGCACCCCAGTTGAATAATGCCTGTGGCAAGGAGTTCCACAGGCCAAATGTGGGTTATGGAAACAATTCAGACACTGGGTGGAATTGAATTTTCCCTTGCTCATGTGATGTGAAGCAGAGTACATTTAAAAACCTGATTTACATTATTTCTGGATAGATGCATAGGGATTGCAGAGAGAATGGGCCATGGGAGAGAATTATAGAACAGGAAGGGACCTTGAGAAGTTATCAAGACCAGGATCCTGAACTTAAGGAAGGACAAAGCACCGTGTAGACCACCCCTAAAAGGTGTTTGTCTAACCTGCTTTAAGATCCAATGATGGAGATTCCACAACTTCCTTAGATCATTGATTCCAGTGCTCATCTACCCTGACAGGATGTTTTTCCTAATTTACAATGTAAACTTCCCTCATTGTTATTTAAGCCCATTACTTCTTTTCCCATCCTCAGAAGTTAATGAGGATAACTTTCCACTCTCCTCCTTGTAACAATATGGGAAGTACTTTAAAACTGTTATTAAGTTTCCTCTCTTTTCCAGACAAAACAAACCCAATTCTTTTACCCTTCCCTCATAGGTCACGTTTTCTAGATCTTTAATCTTTTTTTGTTGATCTTCTCTGGACTTCCTCCAATTTCTCCACATCTTTCCTGTAAGGTGGAGCCCAGAACTGGACACAATACTCCACTTGAGGCCTACTTCAGCAAAGCACAGAGCAAAATAAAAAATATTTCTTGTGACTTGCTTACAATCTTTCTTTCTTTCTTTCTTTCTTTCTTTCTTTCTTTCTTTCTTTCTTTCTTTCTTTCTTTCTTTCTTTCTTTCTTTCTTTCTTTCTTTCTTTGCAGCAGTGTGACATGGTTGAGTTTAGCTTGTGGTTCTCTGTAAAATCTTGATGCCTTCTGCAATTGTCGTTTCTAGGCAATCATTACCTTCTTATGTATCAAAAGCTTCAGAGGGGGAGCCGAGTGAATCGGTAACTAGAAAAACTTAAAAAACAACGAATAGTCTTGCAGCACCTTAAAGACTAAAAAAACATGGAAATAGGGTCATGAGCTTTTGTGGGCACAGCCCACTTCTTCTGATGACTGGAGAATTAAAAGTTCAGATCCAAGAATAAATAGGGAAGGGAGGGGACGAAAGGAAAGGAGGGGAAAAAAGCGAATTAGATTAAGTTTCAAGAGGCTGATAAGAACAATTTTCACCTTTATAAGTACCCATAGTTTGGTTGCTTGGTTAAGTAATTAGGATGTGGAATAGTGATAACAGGATGTGGAAGTTAGTGTGGGAGCCAGCCAATGTCTTTATACATACCTCTATGATAGGAATCAAACTTGTAAATGAAGTTGAGTTCCAACCCTTCCCTGTGTATTTGGTTTATAGTGATAGAAATGTAGCCGTGTTAGTCTGGGGTAGCTGAAGCAAAATGCAGGACAATGTAGCACTTTAAAGACTAACAAGATGGTTTATTAGATGATGAGCTTTCGTGGGCCAGACCCACTTCCTCAGATGATTCTTACCAACCTCAAGATGATTCTTACCAACCACCACAGGACATACCACACTAATACCAACCCTGGTACCTTCCCTTGCAACAAACCCCGTTGCCAGCTTTGTCCACATATTCATTCTGCTGATACCATTATTGGACCCAACCAAGTGAGTTATAAGATCAAGAACACATATCCCTGCGCATCCAGAAATATAATCTACGCTATCATGTGCCGAAAGTGTCCGTCTGCTATGTACATTGGACAAACATCTCAGACACTTCGCCAAAGGATTAATGCCCACAAAACAGATATCAGACAAGATCACAAAGAGAAAACAGTTTCTTGCCACTTTAACCAGAAAGGACACTCTCTAAATGACTTAGCCACCTGCATTCTGCTACAAAGACCTTTTACATCTGCACTTGAAAGGGAATCCTCTGAACTGTCATTCATGTTAAAATTCGACACTTACCAACAAGGACTTAACAAGTCTTTGAACTTTCTCACCCATTACCAAGACAGTTTCCCCAATTATCACCTGTAATACCATTAACTCACAAACATCCCACTCTCCCTACCTTTAATATCAGCAATTCACAGACACTTACCTTCCTTCCTCCCCCTTCCCACCCCCCCGCATCCCCCTTCTGTTCTGCAATGTGATTTGTCCTTTTCATATTTGTTCATTTTTTTTAAATTGTATCCTTTGGTATATATGGTTGTGACTACTTTCTTCCACTATTTGATCTGAGGAAGTGGGTCTGGCCCACGAAAGCTCATCATCTAATAAACCATCTTGTTAGTCTTTAAAGTGCTACATTGTCCTGCATTTTGCTTCAACTACCCCAGGTTTATGGAATTGGTCTAAAACAACACTGTGACTTTGAGATCCATTAATGAATGAAAACGATTTGAGAATGAAAACCGTTTGTATTAAAATACATGTTTTCTATAAACCCTGCTGTTGATTGGTATTAATCATACCAATGCCACCAAATAAAAAAAATAAAAGAGTCTTCTGATCCTAAAGGACCAGCCACATTTGCATGTCAAATTAACAATAAAAACATGCCGTAGCCAATTCTTTAGAATGTAAAATCTGAAAACTTTATTAAGAAAGAAAGAACATTTTCAAAGTGTTGAAGCAATCAATTACCTTCACTGATTGTAAAGTTCTCGGTGAAGGCTGGTTACACTGATGGAATAAACTGCTGGAGCAGCCAGGATGGGTTGACAGTACTTTGTTCAGAAGTTCGGTCCAAAGCAAAGATCCTTCACAGTTGGGAAGCAGGATAGAAGGCAAATTAGAGGGATTTCCACGGCCTTTTGTTTGTTCTTGACCACGTGGTGAGAATGCTGTGGCCATCGTTGTGTAAAAGTTCATCCCAACATGGGTATGAAGTCACTCGCACAAGGCTCCTGTCCATGCATGACTCAGTTCTTTGTAGCTGGATGCCATGGACCACATTCTGGTGGAAGTTTGGCAGGAAAGTCCGTTGAGTATAATTATGAGCCCCCCGTGATTCACTGTCCCTTGATTGTTCCTTTATGTTTCACATCGTTATATTTAGAGCAGATTGGCAAATTCCCGACTCTCTCCGCTCTGGGAGTCCTCACTGGGTAGCAATGATGGATAACCAGGATCCACACGCCTGCTCCCCCTGGATGCACATTAAGCTTTCCCACAACATGATGTGTAGCCGCTATTGACATGTCAAATATAGAACTGTCCTTAGTGGGGCCAAGGACTTATGGTTCATGTCTCTGAACAGTCTTTTCTATGTGTGTGTGTCATGAGTGGGCAAGTAGCTATAGCCATGAAAACAGCCTCCAGCTGCGCATTCTGTGTCTTCTGTTAACATTGTCTCTCTATCCAGCGGTAGGTACTGTGACCATCACCCAGGAGCCAGGGCATCTAGTGGAAATGAGGGTAATGTACAGTAGATGTAAGTGACACTGTTCTGCCTCCGAGTGACACCTTCTCATCCATGTCATATTCTTCTCACCTACTCCATGTCCTATATCAACGCAACTGACTTCACCAACCCCTCCACCTTCATCCTGTTGGGCATTTCTCCTAGAGACCGCCCATGTTTGGATCTCCATCCCCTTCTCTGCCATCTATGCCATAGCCGTCTTGGGGAACGTCACCATCCTGATCATTGTGAAGAGGGAGCCGAGTCTCCATGAGCCCATGTACTATTTCCTCTGCATGCTGGCCGTCACTGACCTGGTCCTGTCCACATCCACCCTGCCCAAAATCCTGAGCATCTTCTGGTTCAATTCCAGGGAGATCGATTTCAATGCCTGCCTCACCCAGGTATACTTCATACAATGCTTTGCAGCGATTGAGTCTGGGATATTGGCCGCCATGGCTTTCGATCGCTACGTGGCCATCTGCCATCCCCTGAGACATTCCACCATCCTGACCAACCCTTTGGTGGCCAAGATTGGCCTGGCCATGCTGCTGCGCAATGCTGTGCGGTGCTGCAAGGTGCCATACTTGTACTGCCCTTTCCCATCCTGCTGAGGCAGTGGCCATATTGTAGAACCAACATCATCCCTGAGCCGTACTGTGTCCACATCGCTGTGGTGAAGCTGGCCTGCGCCGACACCCGCGTCAATAGTTACTATGGACTCTTTGTGCTGTTCGGTGTGGTTGGTTTGGATATGATTTTTATTGCCTTATCCTACTTGCAGATCCTCAGAGCCATCTTCAACCTCCCCACAAAGGACGCCCGACTCAAGACCTTTTTGACATGTGGCTCACACCTCTGCGCCATCGGAATCTTTTATATCCCAAGTGTCATCTATTCCCTCATCTACCGTTTTGGACAGAATTTTCCTCAGCATGTCCATGTTCTCTTTGGCAACATGCACTTCCTGCTGCCCCCCATGCTAAATCCTATCATTTATGGGGTGAAGACCAAACAGATCCGGGCCCGGCTGCTCGGGCTTGTTACTCGTAAATAGTGTCAAGTTTCCTCCTGATGCTCTGGCTCTCGGATCAAGCTTTGTACAACACTGTCTGATGACCTGCTGCTGGGCTCTCTTCCCTGAATCACTTCCTTTATTGTCAGACCAATGTTACGTCCTTTCCTGTCCTTTCTGTGCTGTGTCAGGGTGACAAACTGCAGAGTCAGTGTCTGTACAACTCTAACTCCGAGGGCTTTCGAATTGCTGGCAACTGGACCCCAAGACCTTATCCTTTCTCTGCTGAAATCCCCAGGGACTCTGTCTTGTCCCACTCCTTTTCCCAAACTCCCCTCCCCATGAACCACCTTGTCCATTGTACGCATGGCCCTTTCTCCACTTCTTCTACCATCACCCAACCCTTGACACTGTTTTTAATAACTCCTTCCTGCTCTCACTCACTGGATCTTCTCTACCTCTGCCCTGCTGCAGCCGGGCTCCCTCTGCTCTGGAGCTGGGATCGGAGCTGCGGACGCTTGACAAAAGTCCTTTCTGCACATAGGAGATGGCCCCAGGTGACCTGGGGCAATTGTGGGTTAAAGACCTTATACCTGCCCCCTGTCGTGCATTTCCCAGGTAGAACCAGATACCCACATCAGTCCAATTTTATAGTTCAGAACTTACACCTGGCCAGCCTGCCTTGCACTAAGACAGTAGCCGGTCGGTTGGTTTGCATTTACTATATTTACTGAAGCTCTATTCCTGTTTCATTTTATTCTGCTGTGCATTCGATGCAGCAGGAAGGCAAGTAACCTAAAGGCTTGTATCCTGTAAGACATTGGCTTTGGCAAGTTAGTATAAGCTTGAGGTCTGTAATAGGCCGTAAGGTGCTTATTTGTTTGGCTAACAGCCCAATGGAGACCCCCAAGTCTCTTTTGTATGGACTAAAGGGAGAGAAGTTATGGAATAAGTATTCATCATGATGTCTAGCATGGTTGATGAAGTGGAAGACTCTGGTTACTTATGGTAACCTATGGCCCGTTTTGCATGGTAACCAATCAACATAGGTAGCAATGTGGTCTTTTGGAGTGCCTTGTCACAAATCCAAATTTCTGTATTCAAAGTATCTGATTTTGATGGGGAATGAAGATATTTCCCTATGATTACCGTTAAAGTCATGGGTAGCTCATAAATTTCCACTTCATAGAAATTACTAACAATATGGATAGGGCAAAACAGGCTATTCCCCAATTAATAAAGAAAGGTAATGAGTATTTAGCAATCATTGGTATAAATGTTGGATTAAAAGGATAGGTGGCTCATTAGGTATGCAAATGAGGATTGGCGATAGTCCATGCTTAGCCTCATTTGCATATTAGGCACGCAAGAAGCCGCTAGTGTAGACATAGCCTCAGTGTTTTGGAAGGTCTCAACCATCCCCTCCTCCCTCTGTTGCCTCCAGTGGGAGGTTCCATTCCTTCCCAACCCACCTGTCTGCAGCGACGCTGGAGAACAATGATGTTACCGACAATGCAGGGATTCTTATTCCACTGGGAGAGATCGCATGAGGGCTGAGAGTCTAATGAGCCACCATTTTTTTCAGAAGAGGCTCTTGCGCAAGAAAGAGCATCTACACTGCCCCTTCTTGCGCAAGAAAAAGCCTCTTGCGCAACGCTGTTCTTCCTGAAAAGTAATAGGTATAGCGGCGTTGCGCAAGAGGATTTTTCTTGCGCAAGAAGGGGCCGTGTAGATGCTCCTTCTCGCGCAAGAGCCTCTTCTGAAAAAATGGTGGCTCATTAGGTATGCAAATGAAGCTCGGCAATATTCCATGCTTAGCCTCATTGCATATTACTCGCGCAAGAAGCCATGAGTGTAGACATAGCCCGAGACTGGATGAGCCAGAAGCATCGGGGACAGGAGAGAGGCACAAGGGCGGCAGAGAGGACTCTTGGGTTGCACGCTAAGATTCGTCTTTGCATGTTGCCAGAGACTGTCATGTTGTTAAGCTTCAAACTGTAGCAACAAGATCAATTTTCCCTCTTTCTTTTTCCATCTGTGTGCAGAATACATTTTGTTTTGTACATCAATACCAAGATAATATGATGCTGTGCACCACTGGTAGAAACAACCTGTTTATAGACAGAAGCCTCTGCTCCAGCCTCCTCCCCCTTGATGCAAAGTGTCCAAATGAAGAGTAGGTGAAAAGCTCAAAGATTTAGGGATACAGATGGTTCCTTCAGTGAAAAGAACATAAGAACGGCCGTACTGGGTCAGACCAAAGGTCCATCTAGCCGAGTATCCTGTCTGCTGACAGTGGCCAGCACCAGGTGCCCCAGAGAGGGTGGAACGAAGACAATGATCAAGCAATTTGTCTCCTGCCATCCCTCTCCAGCCTCTGACAAACAGAGGCCAGGGACACCAATTCTATCCCCTGGCTAATAGCCTTTTATGGACTTAACCTCCAGGAAATTATCTAGCTTCTCTTTAAACTCTGTTATGATCCTAGCCTTCACAGCCTCCTCTGGCAAGGAGTTCCACAGGTTGACTATTTGCTTTGTGAAGAAGAACTTTCTTTTATTAGTTTTAAACCTGCTACCCATTAATTTTATTTGGTGTCCTCTAGTTCTTCTATTTAGGGAACTAATACATAACTTTTCTTTATTCACCCTCTCCACACCACTCATGATTTTATAGACCTCTATCATATCCCCCTCAGTCTCCTCTTTTCTAAACTGAAAAGTCCCGGTCGCTTAAACCTCTCCTCATACGGGACCCAGCTAAATATGAAATGGTTTCTACAGGACCATGCACTCTCTTTAGGTACAGCTGTAGCCAACTGTCTGAAGACTCCTTTAGATCACCACAGTTTCCAACATCTCCATCCCTCTGCTGTGTCCTGTCCCCTTCCCCATTCTATGGTGATGGGGTGGATGGCTGGGGGGCAAAATGGGGGCAAGAGGACACCCTGCATCAGCTCCGCCCACCCCATGCCCTCAGCAGGAGTACAGATTTTGAAATAGTGGGCTTAGTAGTGTGGATGCTTCTCTTGGACCATGCATGGACCACACACCCCAAAGGCCAAAATGTTGTGAGGCCTGTCTACCGATCCTGAAAGGGCTTCACAGACGGCCATGGCTTGTTGCCACCTAAGAGTAAGACCTGGTCACCACAGGATATTTTCTGGGGTAACCGACAATCTCTGTTGTCGTGCATAAGGATGTCGTGGCCTCTGGTGTGCCTCAGCCTGGGAGTCAGGAACTGGACCTCAAGAGGAATGACGATGGCTGGACTAACGGGACTGGAGTAAGGGAGCAGGAGTGGGAGGAAGAAGGATGGGAACGGGGCCAACAGGAGGACTGGGTAGAAGGTCACTGCAGTCGGGTAACTGGACATTTTAATTTTACTCAAAATGCTCAAAGGGCAGCATTTGGGTTTGGAAAGGAGAGAGTATTTCTGTCTTGTGAATGTGGGCAAGCTGCTACATAGCAGAGTCCCAGTTCATGTTAGTCCCAGCACCCAAACCCCTGCATGGGATTTGAACATGTGTCAACAGCACATCCTCTTGGCTGCTGGAGGACAATAAAGAGGCGATGACCCTTAATGCCACACCCATGGTGGCAGAGATTCACCTCAGCACCCAGCACTGTCATATGGGGTGGGAAGTCCCATCCCGCTTGGTCAATGGTGAGGCCTCTTTGTCCCAGCTCAAGAGTGTGGCACCGAGCCAACAAACTGGGGTTGTGAAATTACCTGTGGAATGGTGATAAGACAGTAAATAACTTCAAACTGAGCACTTGTCTGGCAGAGTAAATCTCCAGGAATAGCGGAAAGGAATGGCCATCAGTTAACGGGGAAAACCCTTTGAACCGGGGCACTGTTCACTGCAGACCTAACGTAAATACTGTCAATATCAGGCATGTCCAAAGTCCGGCCCGCGGGCCAGTTGCGGCCCGTGTTCCGGTTTAATACGGCCCCACAGGTAATTTGGCAATATCTATCTTTTATGGCCCCCAACGAATCCATATGTATTGAGATGTAAAATCTCAGTTAATGTCAGTTGGTCTAAATCAGTTATAAATATATTTGGATACAACATGTATACTTGGTGTTATGTTCCTGTTCATATTTTTTGAACTTAAAAGTTGACAGACAACCTTTATTACCAATAATATGTAATGTACTTTACAATGTTCCTGACATATATTTCAGCTTCCTGGATTTTTTTTTTCATGTGGCCTTCAGATATGAAAGGCAGAGTGATTTAACACCTGTTTAGATTTGTCATCCATGTGACGAAATGAAAAGTATGCCGTTTGCAATAAACTTTGCATAAAATAGTTAATTTGCATTTAATTTTAATGGTTCAAAGAATGTCAGGCAAAATGGTCGGCCCTCACGCATGTTCACTTCATCAAATCTGGCCCTCGTTGAAAAAAGTTTGGGCACCCCTGGTCAATATTAACACATGAGGCACTGAGTGCTACCTAAAGGGTGAAGTGGGGTTTAACATTTCCCTTATCATAGAATCATAGAACACTAGAACTGGAAGGGACCTTGAGAGGTCATCAAGTCCAGTCTCCTGCCCTCACGATAGGACCCAGCACCATCTAGACCATCCCTGACAGGTGTCTGTCCAAAATGCTCTTCAATATCTCCAGTGATGGAGATTCCTCAACCTCCGTAGGCAATTTATTCCAGTGTTTAACCACCCTGACGGGCAGGAACTTTTTTCTAATGTCCAACCTCAACCTCCCTCACTGCAATCTAAGCCCATTGCTTCTTGTTCTATCCTCAGAAGCCAAGGAGAACAATTTTTCTCCCTCCTCCTTGTCACACCCTTTTAGATACCTGAAAAGGCATTACTTATGGTACATCTCCATAGGAATATAAGCACTGTCACACCAAAGGCCCATCTAGCCCGGTGTCCTGTCTTCCGACAGTGGCCAATGCCAGATGCCCCAGAGGGAGGGAACCCAACAGGTAATCTGCACATGATCCCTCCTCTGTCTCCCATCTGCAGAGTAACAGATGCTAGGGACACTATCCTTACCCATCCTGGC